TAATAATAAAAAATAATGAAGGAGAGGCCAGGAGGTGACACAGTGGTAATGGATCTAGACCCATCTGGAAGGTTCTGAGCGGTTCTGGATTCGTTTCCAGGCCAGGGCTAGCTCAGACCGTTGGGGTGCCTGTCTGACTCCGTCTCTCTCTCTCATAGAAGAAATAAATAAATAAACTTCAAAAGGGAACAAGGGATGGCCAGTGGCCTGGTGGTTACGGTGCTGGACCTCACACGGCTGACTCTATCTCTCGAATCCTGGACATGGCAGCTTGAAAAATAAACATGCCAGGCACACAGGCACTGTGTGCCCCACATCCTGAGAGGCGAACGGAGAAGGGATTGTGGTGTGGCCATCCTTCGTGCGGGGTTGATTTCTCACTTTCCCTTTCTGACTCTCTCCTGCAAGACAGAGAGAGACAGAGAGACAGAAAGCAAGAAATCACCCACCCTGGGGAGATGGCCATGCTGCAATCCCTTCTCCATTCTCCTCTCGGGATCTTGGGCACACACATACACACCCAGTGTGAGTTTAAGCCACCGGGTCCGGAACTCGAATCGCTGTCGACTACATGGGAGTCCTGCGACATAGCCATTAGGCCAACTGCTGATCCCAAAAGGATAACATTTAAGAAGGGGGAAAAAAAATTCTACATGATAGGGGAGATGAATTGAAAGGTCGTGTCCCCGTCTTTCTATGGAAGCTGGCCTGTAGGTGACCAAGGTCGGTGAGGAGGACAACCTCACAAATTATGAGGGAGGAGGTGGCAGAGACCCACGCTGAGTATGAACGCGTGCCCTTATGAACCCTGACAGTTCTCTTGCCTAATTATCCTACCAACCTATTAAGGTAGGCGCGGCCAATTACCATGGAGGAAGCAGAGACGTTAGTGGCTGGGTCTAAGCCACAGTGGTGAGCAGTAGAACCAGGACAGAATCGGGCACGTTGGACCGCAGAGCCAACACCTCCCCCAACCTCCCCTACCCATCTCTCGAATCAGGAGCGTCTCTCACTTCCCTCCTCCACGTATGTCTCACTGAGGCAGGATGTCTGCCTTCCAACTCCACGGCAGCCCTGATGCTGAGGACGGCCTGGAGAGACTCCCCTCCTGTCCTGACCTGTCCCCCAGCTCTGTCTCTCCTGCCCAGTCTGTGACCCCACCCCCTGTGAGGGACAGACACGTGCTGGGTGACACCAATTTGCAGACTTCTCAAGTGTGAATGAGATTTTTAATAGGACTTGCTGCCCACTGGCTCCAGGCAGGGTTAAGAGTAAAGAAAAATGTAAGGGGCAGGAAATGGGGAGGAGGCAGCTGAGGCAGTGACAGCCTCTGGGTGGAAGTGAAGGACTGGCTTGGTTCAGAGAGGGCAAGCGCCTTGCCTCGGGTCACACAGCTGGCCGGGGGTGAGGCAGGCTGAGCTCAGCTACCCCTTGCCTTCTTAGCATTCCCTGAAGTGCCCCCCCCCAGTCTGACTCCTAAGATGCTTCAGTGTTCCGTGTGCGGATGGAAGAGAGCGGGAACATACTCAGAAAGGAGCGGGAAGGGTGGTTGGATTTGTTACTTAACAGAATTCATTTTCATTGGACGAGCAGGTGGTGTGGTGGTGAAGGCACTGGATCTCACATGGCTGATTGTGCGGTTCAAGTTTGGACCCAGTGGCTTGAAAGAAATATGTTGGGGTGGGTGGGGGCTGGTGGGTGGCATGGTGGTTAAGGGCCCTGGGCTCCTACATGGCTGACCATGGTTTGAGTCCTGGACTTGGCAGCTGGCTTTCTCTCTCACTCACTCTGTCCCTCTCTAGTCAAATTGAAATAAATAAAATTAAATAGAATAATTATTTAAGGAAAAAAGAAGAAAAGAAACAGCTCAGGGCTTATGTATGCATGCCCAAAATTTCGAGAGGAGATGAGGAAAAGGCATTGTGGTGTGGCCATCCTCCCGGGGGCAGGTGATTTCTCACTTTCTCAATCTCTCTGGTGAGCACATGTGCCCTATAGCAAAATCAGTAATAATAATAATAATAATAATAATAATAATAATAATAATAATAATAATAATTTTAAAATCTTCATTTCCATTGAGAGTATCACCATGGGGACTCAGTACCCACCTCAGGGTAAGATGCTCCCCAGGCAAAGGCATTAAGAAAGGTTAGGGCTGGGCCAACAGGTGGCATAGTGGTTAAGGTGCTAGACTCCTATATGGCTGACTGCTGTTCGAGTCCCAGACCTGGTGGCTTGAAAAATCAAGTTTGGCACATGTGTGTGTGTGTGCCCAAAATTGCAGGAGGAGATGGAGAAGGGATTGTGGCCAGGTCATCCTCCTGGGGGATGATTTTTCACTTTCCCTCTTTCTGTCTCTCTGTGTGTGCAGGTGCCCTATGTTAAAAAAACAAGAAAGGAAGAAAGAAAGGGGACCAGCAGTTAGCATAATGGCTATGTCGCTGAACTCCCATGTAGCTGACCGCGGTTTGGGTCCCGGACCCAGTGGCTTAAACTCATGCTGGTGTGTGTGCATGCGTGCCCAAGATCCCGAGAGGAGAATGGAGGAGAAGGGATTACCGTGTGGCCAACCCCCTGGGAGGGTGATTTCTCACTTTCTGTCTGTCTCTCTCTCTGTCTTTCTGGCGAGTGCATGCGCCCTATAGCAAAAACCTCTCAAAAAGAAAAATAAATAAATAAAGGAAGCAAGGAAGGAAAGAAAAAAAGAAGGGTGGGGCCCTGGGTGGTGCAGTCCCATGGCATACCTGCCTGTAGTGCTGGAAGCCATGTGACCTGCTGTGGGTTCGTATCCCTGGCTGGCCTGAAAACACACAGGTGCACCCAGGAAGTTCTGACCCTAGGAGCTGTGGAGGTTGGGGAAAAGATCAGGGAACGTGAGACCAGCAGAGGGCGCTCCCCTCTCTCACCTGAGCGGACCGTCATTTATACCTTAGTGGGGGATGTCCCAAACACAGGGGACAAGGCTTCTCCACCCCAGCCTTCCCCTCGATGACATCTGAGAGCTCAGTAGTACTGATCCTGGGCCCATGAAGTCCCCCACACACATCCAGGTGCCGGACAGGCCCCAGGCACTCAGCCTAGCCGTTTTCCCAGCTTGTGACCAGGCCAGTGGGCACCTGGGCACCTCGGTCATGAGCTCACACCCCTGTGGGCTGCACAGCTGGCTCTTTGGGCATAGAGACACCAGGGCTGGGAGCCCTGGCTATGGGGTCACATCATACCTCCCACTATGGTGCGCCATCATGGCTGTTGGGTGAGTGAGCGAGTAACTAAGGGATTCCCTCTTCCTGCCTTTTAGTCAGCGGTGAGAGGCCCACTGCACCCCAGGGCCCGAGACCCTGTGTCCCCTTCCCCTCTCACGCTACAGTCCATCTCCTCCTTTCTGGAAGAGCCTGGCCAAGGTGCACTTCCGCTGAGGGGCGATAAGGTGGTCCCCAAGGTGTTGTCTAGGAGGCACAGACAGGAACACGTGGAAGGAGAGTCCTCTGCTTCCCGCTCGCCGCAGAGGCCGGTGCCATGTGGCAGACTGGGACTTGTTGTTGAGTATAGTGACACAACAACAAAATCACTAGTCTTCCAGACGGGGCTGGCCGGTCCACGTCGCGTCCAGTTCTGCAAGTCACCGGGTGGCCAGCCCCCTCCCCAGCCTTGGGCCAGCTACGGAGTCAGCCATTTTCCTGATGTTCTGGCAGGGCTGGCTTTCGTCCTCACTTACCAACTGTCCCCCACCTCTGAATACTCCAGAGTCTGTCCCCAGGTGGGAGAAAAACTTTCTTTCCTTCTTTCTCTCTCTCTTTTTCCTTCAGTATTCTCTTATCTATAATGAAGATACTTTCTTTAATAATAGTGGCCTGGGGGCCAGCTGGTGGTGTGGTGTTTTTGGAGCTGGAGTCCTACGTGGCTGACTGTGGTTCTAGTCCCGGGCCCAGCAGCTCGAACATCATGCTAGGCGTATATGTGTATGTGTCCAAAATCGCGAGAGGAGAATGGAGAAGGAATTGTGGTGTGGCCATCCCCTCCCCAGGAGGTGATTTCTCACTTTCCTGTTCTCTGTCTCCCTCTGGTAAGCAGACACCAGAAATCTAAATAAATAAATAAAACCTATGGCAAAAACCTAAATGAACAAAAATAATAGGGGCCCAGTCCTGTAGCCTAGTGGTTAAGGGAGCAAGATCCCACGTGGGATCCCACCTTGGTAGCTGGAAAACATGTATGCATGCCCCAAATCCCAACCAACCGAGAAACAGAGGGGAAGGGATTAGGAACGACCATACCTCCTGGTGGTGGGAGGTGCTTGCTCCCTCTTCCTCCTTCCGGCAGGCACAGGTGCCCTCTGGCAAATTTAAAAATTAATAATGAGGGGACTGTAAGTTTTAAAGGAAAGCAGGCAGATGGTTCATTTCTCTGCCTTCTCTTCATTAATCGCAAAGCACGGTGTGTACCTTCTCATGGAGAAGGGAAGAAAGAGCTCCAGGTGGCCGTGCCCCCCCCCCAGGTGCCTGTCCCTGTCCCCGCAAGTCCTCAGTTGTGGCCTGGTGTGGACAGCCTCCCAGCGCCTGCTGAGTCATCGCGCAGAATGAAGTTGGGGAGGTGGGCTGGGGCACGCAGAGTAGAAGAGAGGGAAGGAGGAGGACAGGTTGTGGACGGGGGCGGAGTAGAATTCCAGCCCGGGTCCATTTCCCCTGCAGTAGCCCCTGGAGGAGCGCTGAGACCCCTGCTGCCTGGCCAGCCTGTAATTGCGCTGACAAGGTACATCCGCTCCTTAATTAGCCGAAGCCACAAGAGCCTGGGAGCTCAGCATCAAGGCCCTCCTTGTCTGTCTGCGGCAGCCAGACGATAATTGCCCTTCCGGATCGGTGCTGCTCTTAGCTCTTCTTCTAATTGTGAGCTCTTCCTTCTCAGCCCACCCTCCGTCCTTCGGTTTGCCCTCTTCATCCAGAGTGGGGAAGGGCTTACCTGGAGAGGGAGAAACTCAGACCAGGAGGGCCCGTGGAGAAGCCTGGCCGTACCCAGCACTGAGGCTCTGCCCTCCCCTGTCCGCCTGGGACAGGGCACAGTCCTGCCGGGGCCTGAGGAAGCACCAAGAAGTTATTTTGTGGGGGCTGTAAGGGAGAGGTATCCCTCCCCAGGAGTGTAAGCCTCCCTTCACACCACGTCTTGATGGGATGCTGGTTCCAAAGGGAACCAAGACCTCACCCCTCACCTACCACTTAACCCGTCAGAGGACAGAGAGGGGCTTGCTGTCTTTCATTTCTTCTGGAAGGAGAAAGAACTGTCTGTCTCGTTGCTGCTGTTGAGAGAGGGTCAGTACATCCTCCGTGGCTTATTGTTTCAAAGACCTGATTATTGGGGCCGGCAGATGGCGTGGGGGTTAAGGGCACTGGACTCCCACATGGTTGACTGTGGTTCGAATCCTGGAACTGGTGGCTTGCTTTCTCACCTTCTCTCTCTCTCACTCTGTCGCTCTCTGGTCAAATTTGAATAAATGAATAAAAATAAATAAATTTAAATAAAATAATTATTTTAAAAAAAACAAACCTGATTATAATATATATACTTTAGGCGGTAACAGACCCCCAGAGAGTTAGACAAGCATGGAGGCTGGCAGGTGGTGGGGAGGTTAAGAGCGCTGGACTCTCACATGGCTGACCACAGTTCGAATCTTGGACCTGGCGGCTTGCTTTCTCATTTTCCCTTTCTTTCTCTTTCTCTCTGGTCAAATGGAAAAATAAATAATAACAGAGGAACAAATAAATAATTCTTTAAAAACTAAAAAGAGTGAGGAAACTGGTACTGGACTCCTTGCAGTCTTACCCCAGCCCACGTGAGTGGCCCTGGCCCGTAAGCCACCAAGCCCGTCACTGCTCTGCTGTCAGATCCGTGAGAACAGACACACCAGCTCATAGTTCGAGCCCAGTGCCCAGCACACAGCCTGGCCCATGGCGTTCAAACTGACAGGCACAGAGGCAGAGTTCAGACTTAGAGTAGGCTCGTGGGGGGGGCGAACAGCATAGATTTCACTGGCGTGTCCCTGCAGGCCTGATGAAGATGGACTTGAGCCGATGGTGGTCCCAGTTCTCTAAAATTCTCGAACTCTCTGACCTCCATCTGGGCTGGTGATAGATACGTAGATGCCAAACAGCAAGAGAGGCTGGTGTGGCCCCAGGGAAATGTACCTTGAAAAAGGGACCTGCCCTTGAGCCCACCCACTCCCACCCCCCACTTCAAGTTCCCTTCCTAAATTTAGAGCTGTCCCCTTAGCAACGCTTGTTTCCATGGTTTCCTCCATGACAACGATTCCCAAACCCCTCCTCTCTTTTTACTTCATGACAGTAATGGGTGACAGGGATCATCCGTGTGGCCACTCCGTGTAACCATGGTAACAATGAACGGAGACTTCATTTTCTTTTGTGAAGAGGGCTGGGGAATATGAAGTTTTTGACTGGGAGTCGGGGGTGTCCAGAGCTCACGTCGCCATTCTCAGCAGAAGGAAGCCAAGGGACTGGTCTAGCCACTAGCTGGTAGGATTTAGTTCAAATATTCACTGGGCCCCCTACTTTAAGCACAACTAAGCTCTAGGAAATCAAAGCTGTACACGACCAGTACCCCCCTGTCGAAGCGCTTGTAGTCTAGCATGAGGGCTCACAGTCTTGCTGAACTCTGGCACAGATGGGGCCAGTAGAAGTGGCTTTTTTTTTTGGAGAGGTTTTTGCTATAGGGCTCATACGCTTGCCAGAAAGAGAGAGAGACAGAGACAGGAAGTGAGAAATCACCCCCCAGGGAGGATGGCCATGCTACAATCCCTTCTCCTCCATTCTCCTTTCGGGATCTTGGGCATGCACACAACGCGCCCAGCATGAGTTTAAGCCACTGGGTCCAGGACTCGAACCGTGGTCAACTACATGGGAGTTCAGTGACATAGCCACTATGCTAACTGCTGGTCCCGAGATGGTTCTTAATAGCACCATAGTAACCAGGCATCTGTCCACTCCCACCATCCCCTTTAGCCAAGAACCAAGAAGACTGACCATGCTGGCTTTGTGGCTCCATGGAGGTGCACTGCTCAGGGGAGACAGGATCCCACATGTGACTGAAGTCCAGGTCCTGGCGGAACGGCCTGACGCATGTCAGATGCACACGTGTGTGTCAGAGATCTATAGCCTGGAGGATTGGAGGAGGGGGATTGCCACAGGACCAGACCCCATGGAGGGTGCTCATTTCTCTTTCACGCGCGCATACACACACACGCACACACACATGCACACACACACAGTTCTAGCATGTATGAAGAAAAAGAAAAACAAGAGAAGACCGATCGAGGGTGTCTATACTCACATGAAGGCTTTTTCCAGGCCGCTGTCAGAGATGCTGTTCTGGAAGGGGAAAGGTTGGACTCTTTCAGAGATGTGGAGACTAACGCAAGCATCCTGGAAGAGGGCTATTCAGTGCAGAGAAGGAAAAGCATATCAGATGTGCCTAAGTCCAGTGCCACGAGGGACTGGGATAATCTCCCGTCCCAGGTGTTCCTGTCACCCATCAACCACACGCCTCCCTGGGAAGCAACGGGCCTGCTCTTACGCTGAATTAGAGGGCCCTTATCTCCGTCCACTCAGTGTTTCTGCTAACCACTAAAAATTCAGGCCCAAAGGGCAGCTGTGAAGAATGAAAGCAGAGAAATATATAAGAGTGTGAGGGTGTTGGGGGTGGTGGCAGGTGGCGTGGTGGTTGAGGCGCTGGACTCCCACATGGCCAACCATGGTTTAAGTCCTGGATCTGGCTGCTTGGTTTCTCACTTTCTCTCTTTCTCACTCTCTGGTGAATTAAAAAATAATAATAATAACTAAAATTTAAAAATAAATAATTCTTGAAAAAATGACGCCCAGAAGACACCAAACTGAGCAGAATGTATCTCCAAGCTGAGGTATCTGTTCAGCACAGACAGCACAGGTCTTTCCTCTTCTAGCTTTCTGTGCTCATCCCCGTGGTTTTCACCATCTCCTTATTGGTGACAACCAATTTGTTTTTTTTTACTTTTTTTTTTGTTAGGTTTTTGCTATAGGGTGCGTGTGCTCGCCAGAAAGACAGAGAGAGACAGAGAGACAGAAAGCGAGAAATCACCCCCCAGGGGGGATGGCCATGCTGCAGTCCCTTCTTCTCCATTCTCCTCTCGGGATCTTGGGCACACACACACACACGCACCCGGCGTGAGTTTAAGCCACCGGGTCCGGGACTCAAACTGTGGTCGACTACATGGGAGTCCAGCGACATAGCCATTAATACTATTCGCTCATCCCTGGTGACAACCCAATTTTATACCTTAGCAGAAACCACAAATATCCCCAGCCCCTCAGTGTGCTGGTAATGATAACCTGCACTAAAAAAAAACAAAAAGGGACCTGCAGCTGGCATAATGGCTATGTTTCTGGACTCCTATGTAGTCAGCTGCAGTTCGAGTCCAGGACCCGGTGGCTTACTCTCATGCCGGGCCCATGTGTGCGTGCCTGCCCAGGATTCCGAGAGGAGAATGGAGAAGGGATTGCCGCGTGGCCATCCCCCCAGCGGGTGATTTCTTGCTTTCTGTCTCTCTGTCTCTCTATGTCTTTCTGGCGAGCGCATGTCACGTGCCCTATAGCAAGAAATCTCTCCTCCAAAAAAAATGTAACAATAACCTGCACTGACATGGAAAGATGCTCATGATTTTATATGAACAATGTATAATGCAGGTATGTTCCAGTAAGCTGCAGATACCTACAGGTAGAAGAGTTTCCCCTCGCAAGTCAAATGTCACCTGGATTAGCAGAGTCAATCCCAGAGCCTGGATCCTAGACCCACAGTTCTGTCCTCTCTGGATGGAACTGAGAATGACTCCATCATTCTGGGTACCCAGTTCACTTGCTAGTCAGAAAAGAATAAATGGCATCCTCTCATTGGTTGACAAGGCAGCACACACCAACCAATAAGAGATGGTTGCTTCCTTTTTGGCCAATAAGATCGCAGTTGTCTTCTTGAAAGGAAAATAGACCCTTTGTTCATAAAGAAAATGAGTAGAAAGGGAAATATTAAAAAAAAAAAAAAACTACTGTTGCTATGGGTCCTTATTGATGTGATCAACGATAACTGCCCCAGAGAATTCATAAAAGCAAGCATGTCTTTGAGGAAGAAAAGTACAAAAAGCAGACCAGCTGTCTAGTCTGACCCAAAAGGAAGTTTCCATAGTAACATGTGAGCGAAGCATTTTAATGTAAATGTCTCTAAATCTGTATCTAGCCAGTACATTATGGGTCTTTTTAGAGTGAGATTATATATGTGTGCGTATATATATATATATGTGCAATGAATGACAGAAAAAGGTGAAGATATAGGGGATTACAGATGGAAAAAAATACAATAGTTAAACATGGAGATTTTCGCTATCCATGTGTTAGGGATGGCTCAGTTTGAAACAAGTTTTTATTTTGGAAAGGGAAAAGTCTGAACGCGATGTATGCTAGATAAATAGATCTTAGAACACAAGTGGTTCGAATAACTTACTAGCAACTCCCCCTTAAATCCTACTGAGAATGCTACAGCTGCCTTTGGCAAATTCTAGGTGAAATCATTTCCCATCCAGCTGTTACCAGCACACACCGGCAGACGAGGCTGACGGGCAAAAAGGAGAGTCAATATTTGTCAATCAAGGGAAATGGGACGGGTCAGAGGAGTAAAAGCTCTAAGTGCCATACTGGCTAATTTAGGAGAGTAAAGCTGGGGAGGAAGAAAAGAGAATCTTGCAGAACTCACCATGGGGATGCCAGTGGCTGTCCCCTAAGGGAGCCCTATTTCTACCTATGCATGCTTTCTCTGTGGTCTCTAGGTCCAGGTAAAAAGTAGGGGTGATCCGGAAGTCAGCCTCTTCCCCCATGCAGGGGGTGACTGCCTGACCAAGGAGAAAATCTCTCTCAATAGCATACGCCCTTGGCCAGTTTCTCAGTCTCCTCCTCTGTAAAGAGCACACGTGTTTGCTCAGTTAAAGGGGAAAAAAAGGGTGGGTGGGGAGAGAACCTCTCCTGGAATATTAAAGGGCTTGGGAGGGGATTGCAAATCTCAGGGTAGGGTATAGACTCCTCTCTGAAAGAGGGCTGAGGGCTAGAGTGGGAAGGATTGCAGTGTTGGAAAAGTAGTTTAAAAGAAAAAAAAAATCCACCTTTCAGAATTTCCCATTGGCAGGGTGGGGAGCTGGTGAAGGTGGCCTGGAGGGGGGTGGTGGGTGGGCCGGGGCTCCCACCCAGTCCCGACCAGGCAGGGGCTCTTGGGAGTTATTTTCAAGAATCAAGGTGTTCCTGGCTAATCAGTGACCAAAACCCCTCCACTTACCGTAACCAAGGCAACAGGACGCAGGGGCTGGGGTTGGTTGCCTGGTAACCATGCTAGTGGGGGGGCCTGTTGGCTTCCTCTTCCCCTTGGTGGGTGGGCCGGGGCTCCCACCCAGTCCCGACCAGGCAGGGGCTCTTGGGAGTTATTTTCAAGAATCAAGGTGTTCCTGGCTAATCAGTGACCAAAACCCCTCCACTTACCGTAACCAAGGCAACAGGACGCAGGGGCTGGGGTTGGTTGCCTGGTAACCATGCTAGTGGGGGGGCCTGTTGGCTTCCTCTTCCCCTCCTCGGTTGTGATAGGCTCAAACATACGAACCCAGGTGTTCATTTTGGACAGATTTCATCCGCGCCCAAATGTGGAGCTGATAAGATACGCTTTTTATCTCGGCTGCGATGCGGCCTCTCTCCACTCCACGCTTTTCCCTTCACTCACTCCCATTAAGGCGCATAGATACTGTGGGGAGG